AAAAAAAAAAAAAAAAAAAAAAAGTATATTGTTATCTGTGGAGAAGGACATTCTTTGATTAGAAAGCACTGAGGAACTTTGAAGATATCAGTATGTAATACAACAACCATTGTTAATTCCCTACCCCTTTGTTTATAACTCTGTATTGTCTGTACTGTGCTTGTGATATGTTGTAAAATGTTGTGTGTCTGTTAATGTTTCCCCCCTTTTATCTTTAAAATAAAAAAAAAAAGAAAGCACTGAGGACACACAATAATTTGTTTACTGTTGCAAAAATGAACTGAAACCTTTCACCTGAAGAGTGTATTTGAATTGCAGGAGTTCGCTATTTTTTAGTCTTGCCATGCACTGTAAAAATTAATGGGAAGTAAGGACTGTGATTGTAGTGGACTAATAACTGGTGGTCAACTTATAACCCCCAGCTGAACTGAGTTAAGCGTGGTACTTGGTGTGGGAGGCCCACCAGGGATTGTTGCCTGCAGCATAAGAGGCAGAACTGGAGAAGGATAATGCTTTAATTACTAAAATGTTTGGTATCTGCCCATTTGTACTAGCTATGCCCTTGGTTCTCACTCAGTAAAAGGTGACTGAGATTGGTAATCGGGACTGCAGTCCGAGAGGCTGTATGCCCACTGATCCCAGACTTTTGCCTCTCTTGTTTTTCCTGTCTCTCTTTTAATTTTTCTTTTCATCCGTGGGCACCTCGTTCTTGGGACCTGGATAGAACGACGAATTGGTGCGCTGAACCTGAGAACACTGAACCTGAGAATGAATGCAGTCTTCCAGACTAGGGAAGGGGAATTAAGTCAGTGCTCAGAGGGCCGGAGAAGAGTTGATGGGTAGGTAAGCCCGTTCTCTGGGATTGTTTCATCAGGGTTACTATGGGAAACTTTCTGGCTCAACAAGAGAATCTTATTTTTTTACAGGTTTGGTCATTGTGTAATTTGGTAACTCTGGCTTTAGAGCCCATCCAATCTGAATCAGAACAGGAGATCTTGCTAGACATGAGAAATGAAAAAGGCAAAGACAACTCTGATTCTGAGTTGGGTAATAGTTTACCTGAGGAAACTCTATCACTTAAGGGACAGGGACCAGTTACAGAGAAGGAAGGAAGGTATGGATCTTTTGGACCTCATACTGACCATATGAAAAAGAAATCACACTTTCCTCCACCTCCCTCTTTGATCTCTCAAGTGTATCCGGTACAGCCCTCAGCCCCAATATATGATTAAATCTAACCCTTTTAAGGATCCACCTCAGTTAAGTGTTCAAAAGCCATTACGCATGTCTAGTATTGAAGGCTTTCGCCCAAGCCAAACAGGAAGGAGATTTAAATGCTTGTAAGGCTTTTGCTATGTACCCAGTTACAGTTACTGAACTATCAGGTGATCAGGAAAATCCCCAAGGTTATGTTCAGTATAATCATGTTCCATTATCTTTTAAAACTATTAAAGAATTCAAGCAGGCTTGTGTTTCATATGGAGTGAATTCTCCTTATACTTTTGGGTTGATTTTGGGACTAGCTCAGTCTGACCGTTTAATTCCATGGGACTGGGAAATGATTGCACACACAGTTCTCAGTCCAGCTGAACTCCTTCAATTTAAAACACAGTGGAGAGATGTTATAGCTAGACTAAAAGAAGTACTTCAGAAAACAGTGTCGCAACCTGCCTTGAAAGAATTATTTTAAAACTGTTATCTTATGATAATGCTAATTCAGAATGCAAAAAGGTCTTAAGGCCATTGAAATCTCAGGATGCTACTTTGGATGAGCATATAAAAGCTTGTCTGGATATAGGATCAGAAACCTTTAAAGCAGGGTTGCTTGGAGCTGCTTTAAAGGGAAACAAATGAAACAACCCTTACACCCAAAAGAATCCAAAAATTTTCTAAGAGGTCTCTACTAATTAACAACAAAATCTGACTAGTCTATTTAAATTATAAATTTGTAAAATTGTCATAGTTACTACAATTCAATTTGATCAAAAATGTATTTGAGTGCACTCTGATTTTGTAAAGATGTTTGTTCTGTGTTCTTGTTTAAGTGTTTGTCGTTCTGTGAACAGTGGTTCCCCTTTACTATGGCTCAACAATTTTTCTTTTATCATTTGTTCATAATACAATTGGGTTATAGATTTAAAAGCCTGCTTTCACCTGAGTTACCAGCTGGTTTAAATGATATCAAGATTAAGATATTTTAACCACAGTCCTTAGGATGAGGATAAATTATTGGGTAGGACTCCAATTGGTGAATAGAAGAGTGGCCAACCTTTATTCATTAATAAGGAGCCCCCAGTGATCTCTATAGTCTCTTGGGAGACACCCCAATAATTGGGTCATTTGGTCAAAAGGAAGTTTTGGGCTGGGGATTTAGCTCAGTGGCAAAAGCACCTGCCTGGCAAGCACAAGGTCATGAGTTCGGTTCCCGGTACCGGAGGGAAAAAAAAAAAAAAAAAGGAAGTTTTTCTGTAAAAATTACAATAAGGTTTTCATAAAAGATGCTCTTGGTACAAAACTAAATTTTAACAAAGGTTTTCTCATGTGTATGGTAATTCATTAGTGTTAATCTCATGGTATATTTAATGTATTCATGATTCTGGATCTACAGGTCTTCCAAAATGTAAAACAAAGATTGTTTATTGTGATAAGACTTTCCTTTAGATTCAGACCTCTGCCTTTAACTAAAACTTGTGATGTATATCCCATTAAAGGACAACAAATTAGATAAAAGCTTCTTATTACTAGATAGAGATAACTGGTTTAAAAAGATCATGTTATGTCAAAATGAAAATTTAAGCATGTTACAAAATGTCATCATGATTGTCATGTAGCAATGTTATATACGGTTTTGATTTCTAAATTTCTGTGTAAAAATATGTGACTGCTGTCCGTTAACATTCTATGAAGATTAAGATATCCATGGTTGTTAAAAAATAATGGTTCCTTTTGTATGTTCTAAGGTGTTTGCTATTCAGATCAGATTGTAATATTAAGCTTACTGCCTTCCTTGCAATGTATGTCATTAATCTTCTCTGTTGAATGTTTAACAACTGAGGTTTGGAGACCAAAAATTAGAGAGATAAATTGAGCTAGAGGACAGCCAATATTTTAGCTACACCCTCTGAGGTCAGTAAGGACTCAGGACATAACAGAACCTCTGCTGTGATATCCTATAACTTGGTTGAGTCCCTGATTTTCTGATCAAGGAGATTATGGGACCACAGAGGAAAATGATTCTACAATGTACAGTGTGCCTAAGGAGAGTCACCAGGAGAGAAAAAATCTTTCAAGCTTTCACAGAAAGCACCTTGGTCAAGCAATGGCCGTGACTCATCCAGATGGCTGACACTGACAGAAGGTCAAGAGATGCTGTACTTGGTTCCAAGATGATTCCTGAGGAGACCTAACTGACCCTGATAGACAGCAAAAGGTTAAATTTTTATTTATTCAGGTCTCACTTTAACTTGGTCTTGAATATCCAGCAGAAAAGTGTAACCACAAATTGTAAAAGGTTCAAGTCACCAACAACTTCTGACAGTTGCTAGCTAGACTCATAACAGACCGCTGTTACAGACT